GGACGTACCCCAAAAGCGATCTGATCCTGTACGATTTCCATAATTTGATTCCTCAACATGAAGTTGGGGTCATATGAAATTCCTACAGGTTGGTTAACCGGTTGATTTGTTTGAGGCCTGATGTTTGGTCCTTGATTGGCAACAAAGTTACCATGATTTGCACCATTGTTACCATTAACCTGAACATTTATTCCCTCATTAACACGTGGGGTATTCTACCCATTATTTAGGACATTATCTCTTACATTTGGATTACCCCCCCAAGTTAGGCGTACCACTACCATTATTCTAATTTGGCATTACACCATCCCCTGGTTTGAAGTAGAGGGATCGAAAGGTGGTTCTACCCCTTGATTTGGATTTAGGACTGGGGGATTATGTCTCACAATTGTCCTAATTTGAAAGTGGTTTGCAAGAGGCATAACTGGTTGACAAATTTGGCCTACTAACTTATTCATTATTTCGTTCAAAATATTCAGTTGTTTGGCCATGTTGTCATAATGTGCATTCCCATTCTGGGTAAATCTTTCCATATTATGAATATTTCGAAAATTTACCTGTTCAACGACATCTTGTGTGAGTTCTTCAAGTAGTGCACGCATAGTTCGAGGACTCAACTCTGTCATTGATTCGTAACGACTGTTACTGCTCTGATTCTGTCCATCTGTTCGTGGAGAGCTATGCTGCTCCTCATATCGCTAGATCATAGACTGGACTCCTCCCTGACTTGCTGCTTCCTTATCGGATCTCTGAGGCATATTGTTTCACCTTTTGTATCTTCAACACCAAACACAACTGTCCCACTGGGGGTGCCAAATTGTTTCGCATGGGTTAGTCGCTAACAATTAAAAATGGATCAAACGATTGTGTAAGGGACAAACCTCTTGACACAAAATCCCAAAAAGGGGTGTTTTTATTGGCGATAACTTTACAATTGGAAAATAAAACAGAATGCCTCCAAGGGGCGCAAGCACACGAGTTACTGAAAAGAAGTGTTTAAATCTGAACTAAGAAATTGAAAGTTACATATTCTCTGTTTGAGAGTGTTTGATTCGGGGTCTTTTGCTCTATGTCTTCTCTTCTTTTTATACTCCCTGGATGATCTCTTCGTGACCAACCGCTTAAAAACTGCTTGATCACTCTATAACTGCCCACTTTCTTCATGTGGCTGTCATTACTTTTTGTCGTTCAACCGTCTTCAATTGAATTCCTTGAATCGTGGAACGTGATAGGGCTACTCAATAACTGCTTCATTAACCGCACTTTTGGGTAGCCATAACATCTTATGTTTGCTAAGATCATGGGCGACTCGAAGGTTTGGGCGAGAACAGGGTCACAGCTCTGGGCGACTGCATGGCAATCCATTCGCTCAAATCTTGGGCGACTTGCAAGCTTGAACGATGGTATTACAGTGTTCATGGGTTTCCCTAATTGGGCCTTTATCTTGAATTGCCTGATTGGGCCGTTCTTTGGACTATCTGATTTAGGGATCCTCCAATTAGGCTTCATTCCTTGGGCTATTCAATTTGAGCTGAACTTTTTGTGTGTCAACGAAGATCTTAAATGATAATATTTTACCATTCTTTGGATAAAATACTACATAACTTGTGTTGTACTGTATTTTGTAGGTAAAACTTGATGTTTAATGAAGAAGTGGAGAAAAGAATGCAAAAACAATGAAAAGGGCGAAATCCAAAAGTTAAGGACTAAATTGCAAATAATTCATAGATGAGACGAGCAACGAAATGAATATTTGAAGATACCAAGGGTTTAATTGGATATAATTGAAAGATAAAAGAGCAATAATGCAAGAGTGAAATGGCTTAAATGAAGCAAACCCAAAGTGAGGCCTTAGATGATCACCTAACTCACCTATAGTGAAGGCGACCAATAATGATTTTGCTCTTAAAAACAATTGAGTCTGATAATTTTTTTTAACTGTGGTCTTTATTATTATTATTATTATTATTATTATTATTATTATTATTATTATTATTATGTCTGGAGTTGTGTATATAGGACAGGATGTATTTTCTTGGACTAGTGAAATTAACAGTTACCTTTTCGTTGTCCAAAACTTGATCTAAATATAGTTATTCTTGTGTTGAGAAGCAGAGTTTTAGTCCTATGGAAGTAACCAGGGCTATAAATTGAGACATATACAGCTCAAGATCGAGAGACTTCGAATTGACTCTCAAAACTCATCCAAGTCAATCCGAAGTTGAAATAAGTTGTAATCGATGTAAATTTATGAAAATTTTCAACTTGGTTCAATCTTGAGTTGTCAAGAAACTAGGAAACAATTAAGTATTCGGTTACAAACTCATGAGAGTAGCATTCTTCGGCAACAAATAAAGTAATCCATATACAGTTTTGTGTGTAGCAATGGAGTCATTTATTAAATTTTTGTACCCAAATACTAGTTAGTTTCTCGAGTGCATATTTATTACACAATACTTGACAGTATTACATTCAATAAATAAACAATTTTATCAACTTTTCTTGATAACCTAAGAATGGAAACACCGAGGTCCAGCAGAAATCAAGCTTTCGTCTATCGTTAACTCAAGTAAAACCCGATTAATGCTTGAGAAATTATGTATTAACTGAGTATTTCTTTGGTATGTGCAATTTGTTGCTACATTATTTGCAGAAGAAAATGATTCTCTGATATGATACGACAGAAGTTATAAGTCAACCCAACAACAACAATGCAATAGCAATTGACTTTTAAGCAGGAACGATTCATGCTACTGTAGTTAGCATGGATATTGAGGTTCTGACTTTTTCATTTTAATCTTTATAATTTTGTAATAATTTAGAAATGGTTGATGAAAGAATAATATTAGAAATATAGATAACATTAAGACTTTGTACAAAGAAAAAACTATTTCGATCATTTCATTAAATGTTTAGGGAACGACTCGAAAAACATCAAGGTTGATATTTATTCAAACATAGCATGCTATATATGTCAAGAATCAATTTCTCTTTAACAATTTCTTTTCATTCTTTTTACAAAACTCAATCAGCCCTTGGCCTGTTCATTTTCTCCCTACAATTTAACCAGTTCAATTTCGAGCTAATTCCCAGTTTTGCAAGTCGAATCAAGCGAGTTTTCAATATACTAAATAACTGCAAAATGCAAATTTATTTAATCCATCCAACCTACCATCTAAGAATGAGTCATTGTACTAGTAATATTCTCGGCCTCATATAATATTGAGAGTGGTATTGGAAGTCAAAAATCTAGCCAAATCGTCTGAATTCAGAAGAACGTTGTTTTCCATATTAAAAATGTACAAAAAATAATAATAATAATAATAATTAAAAAAAATATATATATATATATATATATACACACACACACACATACAATCAACCTACAGTATATATAGAGTTCCACAGTGTATATATATATATATATATATAAAACATACACATACATACATACATACATACATACAATCAACCTACAGTATATATAGAGTTCCACAGGCACCCACTTTGCAACATTCTATAACCATCGAGCAATTAATACCAACATACCTGTATTCAACAAAAATGGCCCCGAGTTTTGATGATGAAAACTCTTTGTTTGATTTTGTTGTGAAAAATGGCAATGGTGTCAAAGGTCTGGTGGATTCAGGAATAGCAAAGGTACCCAAGAGATACGTCCAACCGCCACAAGAACGAATCGACAAACTGGATGCATTCTCACAAGTTCTTTCCCCCATTGATTTATCGAAGCTTGACCAACCAGCCGAGCATGATCAAGTGGCGGAGACCATAATTAGAGCGGCCGAGACACTCGGATTCTTCCAGGTGGTGAACCATGGCGTGCCGGTCGAGTTGCTGGAGGCACTTAAGGATGCAGCCCACAAGTTCTTTGCTCAACCACCAAAAAAGAAGGCAGTTTATCTCAAAGCAGTCAGCCCTAGCCCGCTTATCAAGTATGGAACCAGCTTTGTGCCAGAAAAGGAAAAAGCTTTGGAATGGAAAGATTATATCAGTATGAACTACACTAATGATGCAGAAGCCCTAGAGCATTGGCCTAACCAATGCAAGTAAGAGACTTTTTATTTATGTCTAGTACTGTATACCGAATATACATTTATTATTTAATTATTGATACAACTTTTTTTTTACAGAGAAGTCGCACTTGAGTACTTGAAGGCATCGACCAAGATGGTGTGGAAATTGATAGAAGTTTTATTGAAAAATCTTGGAGTGACACAAAAACACAACTCGATAATAGAAGCACTTACTGGGCAAAATATGGTGAACATGAACTTTTACCCTGCATGCCCTGACCCAGAGCTAACAGTAGGTGTGGGACGCCATTCAGACTTGGGCACAATAACTGTTTTATTACAAGATGGTATTGGTGGATTATATGTAAAAGCTGAAGAAAATATTGATACAGCCAAAAAGCCAGAATGGATTGAGATTCCACCCATTCCTGGTGCCTTAGTTATTAATGTGGGGGATACGTTACAGGTAAAATGTTATAATGGTTCGAGGATTTGTTACAGTAACAAGAAACTAAACCATTTTCATTATACTGATACCTGTTCTTGCACCTTTCAGATATTAAGCAATGGAAGGTACAAAAGTGCTGAACATAGAGTAAGAACCACAAGCACACAATCAAGAGTGTCAATCCCATTTTTCACAACCCCAAAACGAACCACCAAGATTGGTCCACTGCCTCAGCTAGTGACGATTGATCAAGCAGCCCATTATCGAGAAGTTACATTCGGGGATTACATGGATCACTTTTTTGGAAATGCTCATGAGGGGAAAAAATCACTTGATTTCACTCGCAACAGCTCTGATTAAAATCAAGTTACCTTTCATAAAACTTATCTTGCAAGTTCAATACCCTTTAAAATTGTTGTACCAAGAATTTCATGTGTGTTGATGCATTCTGTTTCCTACATGTACTGATGTTTGATTTCTAAAAGAATAAAAGTCTCGTCTTTCTTTAACTCGAGCAATTATGCAAAAGTGATTTTCTGCAATTATAATTTTCAATTCAGACCCTACAGTTAAAGATCCATTACACTTCCATCCCTAATCTAATTTCCAAACCAGTACAATAAAGCATATAGAAGATGAGGGCAATAATTAAACCTGACCCTAAAATCTAAGCCCTTTCACCCCTAATTCTTCTAGCTAATTGAATATCCTTAGGCATAATAGTTACCCTCTTAGCATGAATTGCGCACAGATTTGTATCCTCAAAAAGCCCCACCAGGTACGCCTCTGCCGCCTCCTGAAGAGCGGCCACGGCGGAGCTTTGGAACCGGAGATCAGTTTTGAAGTCCTGAGCAATCTCTCTGACTAATCTCTGGAATGGTAGTTTCCGGATCAGAAGCTCTGTGCTTTTCTGGTACTTCCTGATTTCCCTCAGTGCCACCGTCCCTGGGCGGAATCGGTGTGGTTTCTTCACGCCTCCGGTCGCCGGAGCGGACTTCCTCGCCGCCTTTGTTGCTAGCTGCTTCCTTGGAGCCTTGCCGCCTGTGGATTTCCGAGCTGTTTGCTTTGTGCGCGCCATTGATTTCAGTATGTGTCTATATGTATATGTATAGATTCTACAGAGAGTGAATGGTGAGGAATTGTGGAGTTTAGAGTGATTATTTATAGGACCGTGCAATTGCCGAGCGGGAAATGAATTTGAGGGAGACGAGATGTAGACCGTTGTATTGAATTTGTAATGGACGGTAGAAGATTTGATTGTGAGGATTGTGATCCAGATTTTCAACCGTGGATTGAATTATTATCCACGGATATGATCCCTTTTGGGGACCTACCGCGGATCGATGCAGCAATTGTATGCCATATTTTGCTAGGTACCAATTTCATTTTTAGCACCCGCACCATTATTTCTTATTACATTAAATTAATTTTTTTTTTCTCTTTTACTTTTAACCACACAATCTCTAATAAAATAATATTACACGTAAATTAAAAATTTTAGTTAAATAATATTTCCAACAATATCACAAAAGAAATAGATTGGAAAGAATTCATAGGAATAATTTAAACGGAGTTCCTCGAAGAATGAACTCCGAAAAGGTAGAGTCAAAATTACTATTAGAAAATACACTAAAGTAGTCAAAATATATAAACATATTCAATAAAAAAAGTTAATGAGATTTTTTTCCGATTCATTTTTTCTTACAACATGATAATAAAATCTAGATTCCCAGATTTGAAGAGCAAAAAACAATCTGCATTTGAGTTTTGATTGGGATTCTAATTTCAATTAACAGAGAATAAGCCTATTTATTTCTGGTTCTAAAACCAACTAGTGGCCGACTCGGTTCTAAAATTTTAGAAATAATTGAAACAACGATCCCAAACCTTTTCTACTTTTCGTATACTTTATCTCCACATCCAATTTATGGTACTCACAATCTTAGTGTAATGGATAGTCTCTTATTTTGTTTCTTCGATGGCGATGGCAACGGTGATGATGACGGGCTATGTTTGGTTTTGGTGGCTCCTTTATTTTTATTATTTTATGTGGAAAAATAACAAAAATATTATTTTGCCCTTCTAGATTTGATCAAAGTCCATTCGTTCTTATGCTGCAACAAAATGAAAGTTTGGGATTACGATGACATAAAGTAAAGTAAAGGTTGAGGTAAAATCTACCAAAAAAATAGAAAGGTTTGAGACTGTGTTGCTGCAATTATCTCTTTATTTTATGGAAAATGGTTTCTTCTAACAAGATAATTGAAGAAAACAGCACTAGAATAAGGCAGATGACCCATTATGTATCCTTCTTTTTCTCTAACGTTGCTTTTTGATTAATTTTTAGCATCATTTATATGATGAACACACATTTATTTATTTTACAAAGTGTTAAAAATTAACTTAGTACCATTCTTGAATCACTAAATTTTCTAAATATATACTCGTATGTCACACCGATTTAATATATTTTGTTATTCAGTTAGAAGCAAAAGGAGAGGAAATATGTCCTAACTTCTATTGATCATCCTCTCGAAAGAGGACCAACTACTAATAATTCTCTTTGTTTCACCAACTAACCAATTAGATACAACCATTCATGTGAGGTTTTGCCACAAATGATGGCGATTTCAATTATCATCCTATATGTGGCCCCCTAAAGATCACTAACTTAACTTTTGCGGACAATTTGATGCTCTTTGCTAGGGAAGATGTTATGTCGGTGCAAATTCTCATGGATTGCCTCTCCAATTTTGGTTTTGTATCACGTTTAAGGTTGAACGTTCTTAAACCCAACGTGTATACAGTTGGTATTCATGGACAAGTGCTTGAGGATATCTTCAAACTTACAAATGTCCGGAGGGGTACTATGCCATTTCGGTATTTGGGCATCCCTTTTGCTTCGAAAAAACTCAAAGTTAGTTGTTATGCTCCATTCCTTGATAAAATTACAGCTTATATTGGTGCATGAAATTGGTTTTCATTATCTTATGCGGTCAAGGTGGAACTTATTGGGGCGGTCCTTTAGGGTGTTGAATGTTTTTTGTTTTCTATCTTCCTAATCCCGGCTAGAATTATCTCAAGGATTGTTAGCCTTTGTCGAAAATTCCTTTGGGGATCAAAGAAACATTTGGTTGCGTGGAAGGATTTTTGCCTTCCAAAAGATGAAGGAGGCCTCGGTTTGAAGGACTTGAAGAGTTGGAATTTAGCGTTACTTGCTAAATCCCGTTGGAATATACAACATAAAAGGACACTCTTTGGATACGGTGGGTTCATCGAGTATAACTTAAAAGGACTTGCATTTGGGAGGTTCTATCTAGAAAAGATCACTCCCCACTCTTCAAAAAACTGCTGGAAATCAGAGATCTATTGCTTAAAACGGTTGCTGCACCCCCAATTTCTTGCACATGGATAGCCCGAGCTGTCCGACGAGGTGGATGGTGGAAATAATCTGATTGAGTCTGCTGTTTTAGCCTCTAACCAGCATGCTGTGCACCCTCAAAATAGGGGCCGATTTTAGGGAATTTTGGACAGCTTTGAAGGCTATTCGACAGGTCATAACAGGAAACGTTTTCTAGGATTTTTGGACAATTTTCTAGGCTGGACGACAAGTGACAAATTCAGCACAAAAATGGCCTATAATTTCTTTAGGCCGAGGGGTACAAACAAGATTTGAGCAGCCGATGTTTGAAGACCTTGCATAACTCCGAAGCACTTCTTTTTGCATTGGTTAGGGGTTCAATCAAAACTCATAACTAAAGAAAAATTGCATTTCTTGGATATTGATTGCAAGTGTGATTTTTGTGGGCATTTGGCGGAAACAATCCATCACTTATTCTTTGAAAGTTCTTTCACATCGACCATATGGGAGAATATTAAACAATGGCTCAGAATAAAAAGATCTATGTCAACAATTGCTAGTACTCTAAAGTGGATGAAAAAAAAAAGCCCGAGGGACATCATGGCTTAGCAAGGCCAAGAGGATTGCATTTGCTAGTACTATCTACAATATTTGTTTAGCACGTAACAGGAAGATCTTTGAAGACATTGCTCCTCACTTGGATTGTATTGTGAGACGGATCAAGATACACGTATACAAAATAATGTTCTTTTTTAATCTGAATGTCTTGATCCATTTCGAATTCTTAGTGTTGGGTCATTGACTTTCATTGTACTTCATTTATTTTTGATTCACCCGGGTATGCCCAGAGTAATTGTATGCAACATTGGTTTTGTTTTGCCCGGGTATACCCGGTATACTTGTACATGATACATTTACCGATCCAAAAAAAAAAAGAAAAAAAAACTTCGTTTTACTCCACGTTTCGTTCACATTCTCAACCGGCCATGTTAATATTAAATTGCAGCTCACTTTTCTAATGCCTTCATAGAATTTCTACTATAACTAAATTGATACAAAAAAATTCGCGTTACAGTTAAAAAACACGTTCACGCTTTGTCAAAAAAGTTTCCAATAGTAAATATAACTTTGTTGTAAATGTCAACAATTTATAGTTAGTAGCCAGATTCCTTTTTGATAGTAGCTAGGGTCATGTGAGCAATAATTTAGCAATTACTCCTAAATTATGTTTATTATTAATTGTTTTTATACAATAAGATATTCATTGAAGAAACTTGTAATTAAATTATACACAATAATGAGGAAGGTAAAAAGCCTATGACATTGTGTCTATTCTAATGAAGGATCCAAAAAGGTAAGGAAAAGGTCTTACAATGAGATATCATATCATATATAGCACTCGTGTATTTCCACAAACCAGTAATAATAATAATAATAATAATAATAATAATAATAATAATAATAATAATAAAAATGTGAGAGTTGATTTAGGATAACATCGTGACATCGTAGATGCTCGAATTTATTGTTGATCATATGATTGTTTACTTTGTCGAAGTATTTTTGATAATTGAGAGGTGTCTTTTATTTTGACGCTTTAAATGTCAATACACTACAATCAAAGTTAATGTTGATATATGTTAGACACTTAAATTGTTTGCTTATGTGATGCCCGTATCCATAGTCAATCGTATTACTGTTTATTTGGTAAAAGTAACTTTCATAATTCAGAGGTGCTTTTTTTTTTTTTTGACACTTCAATTGTCAGAACAATAATTGAATTTACAATTAATATATGTTAGACAATCAAATTTTTTCCTCACCAAAATACCATTGACACGATTATGGTACCTTTTCTCGTGAAACTCAAACTTTTATGATATAAATATCACAACTTGTTAAAAGTTCTCCACCTTTTTGTTTTCCACACCAATGCCAAGGATACGGACGCTTTTCAAAGTTTTTTAACGATAAAATGAAGAGAACTATTGTTGAGATAAACATGAAAAGTGCAAACACATTTTTGCTTGTGGAGGTTGACAAAATTGCTTGCTTTTGGAGGGTGGTTGATTAATAAAATTAAATTTCAATTAAATAATGAGATTTAGAAATGGAGTGGTTATGAAATGCTACAAGAATTTCTGATTTAAAACATACAAAGAATTGTTACAATTACATCAATTTTAACGACTTTGTTTACAGCCCTCTCACATAAAGGGGTGGGACCCACAATTAAAATAATCGCGAGCCTCACCCTTGTGAAAGAACTGTGAACAATAGTGTACAAAAAGTTATGTATGCTTGGTGTTTTCCAAACATTAAGAGAACCTTCCAAAATCCTACTTGGAATTCCATTTCATTTATATAAAAATACTTAAATAGATTATATATCCCATCATCAATGTATAATGGATATAATTAATTAATTATAAATTATTTAATTATCCATTCACAATATCTTATTATTCTCAAATGTACTACATTATATGGAAATTAGTAACACATTTTTTCCCCTTTAACTTGATCTTTCGTTAAATATGAAGACAGATGTTATGTTATAATTACATTTTTCAACTTTTTATCCGATTTTTGCATCTGACAAAAAAGAGCCATTGTATGTCATTGTTGTCAAAGGATCACAACAATTTTCCTTATTTTTATTGAACATCTCCAAAAAATAACAAAATTTTGGTTAAGAATTAAATTCTCGTGCTGTCATTTTATTACAATTAATTAGATTCAAGTATTAATTAGTTTTTTATTTTAATTTTGGCCACAAAGT